TGCCCAATCTCTTTATACTGGAGCCTGGAAGGAGAGGTGCGATGCTTTACTTTAAACGTGCCTATGGGTCGTAGCGAACAGCTGTCGTTTGGACTGGCTTTGTTTGATTCTTTGAGATTTGTTTTTCTATAGCTGTATTAAAAAAGACAAGGCTTTATTGAATGCGAACCACCTTTTGCTGCAGTCATCGAGAGCAGCATCCGCACTCATTAAGGATAGTTTGTTATTGGGTCTGAACCATAGACAGTAATATTAACGGAGGTAGTCACGCCTATCTCCGCGGTTGAAACTAATGTGCCACCACTTTTGCCGTCTATGCAGTTACAAAATGGCCGTGGGGGCAGGAAAATGTGAAAAAAAAACGCATTTGCGCATGCGTTGGCCGGCACAAGCCCCATTCATTTGATGAGTGCATTCAAAAGTCCACAGCTGCTAAACTAGAGTGGTCCAAAAATATACATATATACTCCCCTCAGCATTGACACACATCTGGAACATTGGGCCAAGAGCGACTTTTGGACCATCCTGTAAATGCGATGTCGAGAAGAAAGACGACCCCATACAAAAGCATTGGGTAATTCTTATTCCGGGTACACCCCCACCTGCCTAAAGTGGTATTGCCAGTATGTCAGCGCACATACTCATACTTTGTGAGCCTGGACCCGCCCCCACTGGTCGGAACTTGAAAGGCCAGACTTTAACCCTTGTCCCGGAACATGCATTTCATTTAAGACAAATTTTCTGGCTCCAAAGACGGTGACATTTAGCGGATAGCAACGGCCTAGCAACCAAACAGCCAATCAGGAGCAGCCTTGATTTGTTCCTCTTTCTAGCACTACTCCATAGATGACACTATATTCGCAGTCAAAATGCACTTAAGTTGTTAAAGTATCTGGATTTACAAAGATTTGATCAAAATGGAAGTACCAGGATCATAGAGAATGTTAAACTCGTCATATGGACAGCACAGAGAGGTTTTTCTCCTCCAAACGTCTTTTTTGGATCTGAGGAAATGTTCTGATGCTATGATTTCAAGCTGTGGTGAGCATTGTTCTGCCCAATTAGCTTTGAAAACCATCTGCTCGGATTGGGTGAACTGTCTCGGTCCATGTGATTACTTTTGAAACTTCTTCTGTACAAGTGAGACTACACTCAAACTCCACCAACGACACTGTATAGAAAAAGATGTATATTCTTAAGTCTCGCTATAGTTTTTAACATTTGTAGTAGTAGTTTAACTTCCTTTGTATTAGTCCATGGCAGGGTGTGTGGTGCAGAGTCAGCCCAGATTGTGCGCTGACTGCTGGGGCCATACTTACAGAAAAATGTGACAACTTCTGTAAGCCTCCGTGCGGTCTTAACAGGAAGTAGAAATAAGGAAGGCACAGGATTCATTTCAAATCAATGTGTTCTTATTTGGCCCTGAATCACAACAGTAGTTTTTAGCTCTTCGAAGTTTCCTAATCCTGCTTTTAAGAGTTTTTGCCTTACTGTGTCTTGCCTCGCTATTTTTATTCTTTTTTTTGTCTGTGAGTGTGTGCTTCGTGGTGTTGGGGCCCCCGGTGTCTCCTGTTTGTTTTTTTTTCTGCAAATGGCAATACATTTATTCTGATTCTGATTCTGAGTAGTTACAGTGCCTTGCGAAAGTATTCGGCCCCCTTGAACCTTTCAACATTTCGCCACATTTCAGGCTTCAAACATAAAGATATAAAATTTAAATTTTTTGTCATGAATCAACAACAAGATAAGATAATTCCTTTATTCGTCCCACAGTGGGGACATTTTGACATATAGGACAGTAGTAGAGCACACAGGGATCACACACAATATATACAAATAAGTATAGTAGCTATGTTTCTTAGCTAACATAACTAGCTGTAGATACTGAAAATGCTTCAATACCAGTCAAAAGATATATGTAGTAGTAGTGCAGTTATATACTGTACAGTTAAATAGTGCAGGATAAAAAGTATCTAAGTAAAGTAAAGAAAAACCAAGTGGGACACAATCGTGAAGTTGAACGAAATTTGTTGGATAATTTGAACTTTTTTAACAAATAAACTGAAAAGTGGGGCGTGCAATATTATTCGGCCCCTTTACTTTCAGTGCAGCAAACTCACTCCAGAAGGTCAGTGAGGATCTTTGAATGATCCAATGTTGTCCTAAATGACTGATGATGATAAATAGAATGCACATGCACATGCTGTGTGTAATCAAGTCTCCGTATAAATGCACCTGCTCTTTGATAGTGAGAGAACCATGAAGACAAAGGAACACACCAGGCAGGTCCAAGATACTGTTGTGGAGAAGTTTAAAGCCGGATTTGGATACAAAAAGATTTCCCAAGCTTTAAACATCTCACGGAGCACTGTGCAAGCAATTATATTGAAATGGAAGGAGTGTCAGACCACTGCAAATCTACCAAGACCCGGCCGTCCCTCCAAACTTTCATCTCAAACAAGGAGAAGACTGATCAGAGATGCAGTCAAGAGGCCCATGATCACTCTGGATGAACTGCAGATAACTACAGCTGAGGTGGGAGAGTCTGTCCATAGGACAACAATCAGTCGTGCACTGCACAAATCTGGCCTTTATGGAAGAGTGGCAAGAAGAAAGCCATTTCTCAAAGATATCCATAAAAAGGCTCGTTTAAAGTTTGCCACAAGCCACCTGGGAGAAACACCAAACATGTGGAAGAAGGTGCTCTGGTCAGATGAAACCAAAATCGAACTTTTTGGCCACAATGCAAAACGATATGTTTGGCGTAAAAGCAACACAGCTCATCACCCTGAACACACCATCCCCACTGTCAAACATGGTGGTGGCAGCATCATGCTTTGGGCCTGCTTTTCTTCAGCAGGGACAGGGAAGATGGCTAAAATTGATGGGAAGATGGATGGAGCCAAATACAGGACCATTCTGGAAGAAAACCTGTTGGAGTCTGCAAAAGACCTGAGACTGGGACGGAGATTTATCTTCCAACAGGACAATGATCCAAAACATAAAGCCAAATCTACAATGGAATGGTTCAAAAATAGACGTATCCAGGTGTTAGAATGGCCAAGTCAAAGTCCAGACCTGAATCCAATCGAGAATCTGTGGAAAGAGCTGAAGACTGCTGTTCACAAACGCTCTCCATCCAACCTCACTGAGCTCGAGCTGTTTTGCAAGGAAGAATGGGCAAGAATTCCAGTCTCTCGATGTGCAAAACTGATAGACATACCCCAAGCGACTTGCAGCTGCAATTGCAGCAAAAGGTGGCGCTACAAAGTATTAGCGCAAGGGGGCCGAATAATATTGCCCGCCCCACTTTTCAGTTTTTTATTTGTTAAAGTTTAAATTATCCAATAAATTTCGTTCCACTTCACGATTGTGTCCCACTTGTTGTTGATTCTTGACAAAAAATGTAATTTTTATATCTTTATGTTTGAAGCCTGAAATGTGGTGAAATGTTGAAAAGTTCAAATACTTTCGCAAGGCACTGTATATCGGACGACTTTACAAAACCGTTGAATTTGCCACCACAGCTCAAATACTAGAGGTATTGGTACAAAAGAATGTCATGTGTCTTGGTCCTTGGTTATCACCAGATCATCAGAAATAACATAAAAAACGGGTAAAAAGTCCCAAAATATGTTTAACAAATATGTTTTAATGCACTATATGATGTTTTTTAATGTAGTTTTTTCTGGCTCCACTCACCAGCATGAACCCCTGTGCAGGAGGAGCATCTGGCCTGGATTATGTGGTGAAGTCTGTTTGAGAGTTCAGTGGGTCGCACAGAGCTGTCGTCTTCCCTGGAGACGCTTTGTTGTGTCTGACTTTAGCTGCAGCTGCTTTTAGGAAGTTTATATGCTTCATGCACTGTCTGAGAGTGACATCTACTCACACATCATAGTGAGACTGTAGTCAGCCATTACATTATGACCACAGTGGAGACTAGGGCTGACATTTTGAAAACAGGAACAGAAAGAGAGTCACAAAAGAATGTAATAAAACCAATAGAAATGCACTAATGGATTTTATTTTGGAAAAAACAATCAAACATATTGATACTTAAGAATCAGCTCAACATAAAAACATTAAAAGAGTAATCAGTGTTTTCATTTTACCATCCTTCAGTACCACTACATAGGAAATATACTATGAGCAGGTCACACCAGTGTAGGAGGCTTGTTTTACATTATTAATCATTTATCATTCATCAACAACCTATTTTATTATTCTAAGACCTGTGGCTTCTCCTGTTCTAGTCTGCTGTTTACTTGAAACTAATGCGGTGTTCCTGAGGACATTGGATTGTTGGATGCTCCCCATCTTGTTCATGTGCTTCCATCTTTTGGATTTTGATGTCACCAATATCAAAATAGTGGAGATGGTTATTTTACAATGTTTAACAAATCTGTGACATCATTGGTTGTTAGCGAACAGTCTCTGGTTGTTAACCTTCTCAAAGGCACTAAATGCTACAGGCTATTTTGTTTAGGAAAAGCCATTTGTCATTTCAAGTTATAATCTCAGGGTAGCTTACATTGTGGCTCAAATGATCATAATAACACACAGAAAAGTACCACAACTCAAAAAGTTCAGTCAAAAATGCTAAAATACTCAGGAATCAGCTGTTGTTGGTTACTTTTCCCAACTTAGTAGCGAAAGTAGCATGACACCTGCTTCTGATTTTATGCTTAGAGATCACAACATTGTTTAATGCATTTAGTTTGTTGCTATGGAGATGATGTTCAGAGTCTCATTCCAATTGTGTGGAACATTCTTGGCATAGCTATAACACCAGCCAAAGAACAAGCAGGAGCCATACCAGAAATATCCAATCCACTTTATCTTCCAAACGTCTGAGGGAAATCCATTAAAAACGGGGTATACTCGGAAGTTCCATTCTTAAGTAATGGAGTCTTGAAGTAAACACGAGTGAATTGACACTTTAGCTCCGACAGAAAGCAACAGTTAGAGTCGTTAGAGAGAAGAGAGAGGGCGGAGGGTCATCATGCTGAACAGGGCCCAGGAGGCTCCGTTTGGGAGACGTTTCTTTGGACGCTGACAACCAACACTCCATCTGAGCTCACCCTCCCACTCACAGACAGGGGGTCCATGTCCTCGGGGAGCAGGGAATTGTGGGTAAAAGTGTCACCCACTCTGCCGCCGTCCAAAATCTGAAGGCGGAAAAAACACAAAGGGAAGATTAAAACGGTTAAAGGATGTCCACACGGCAGGGAATGCTGAGCTATGTTAGCTATGGGATGTACAGTAATGTTATAGATGGATACACACACACATGCACACACACATACACGAATACATACGCACACACACACACACATATACACACACATACACAAATACATACGCACACACACACACATACACACAGACATACTGTATACACACGCATACACACACACACGCATAGACATACACACATAAATACATACACACACACACACGCATACACACATTTTTTAATGTTTTTATGAATAGATGTGTTTTCTGCTGCTGGACACCTGCATTTTTCCAACAGGGATCAATAAAGTATCTATGTCTAAATCTTGCTTCTGGATAATAATTTGTTCATTAAATTTTAACTTGCAGTATCATAGACAGATAGATAGATAGTGGAAGCCAATGTGTAAATGACAAATGGGTGGGAATAAATAGGTTCTCTTCTGCCCACGCCCTTTCAGGCAAAATTAATTTAGATTGATTTACACATATGTTTAATACTAACTGCATTTCTCCTGTGTTTTCCTGAAATAATAGAAAAACAATCAAAGTAAATGTTGATAACCACTGCTTACTTCCTGCTCGGAGCTCTCACACTTTGAGCCCAGATGGAGATGAGCAGTGACGGCTCCTCTCTGCAGACACTTTTCTCCGTAACAGGGCTTTAAGGCAAAGGTTTGAGCCAATTTGAGTCCTGACCTCCATTAAAAGCTGCTCCTGCCCCTCGCGAGACCAGACCCTGCTCTACCACAGCCCTTTATGTTTCATTACCGTCAAGCTGAGGAGAACCCTGCACAGAATGCCAAGGGAGACGGGAGAGTCTGCGAAGCTTGTTTGTGCAGACGTGATCTTTAAGTAAGATTATAGAAAACAATGTTATTGCGTAGCTCTCAGTGTCTACAGTACAGACTCTCTACTGATGACCAGATATTTTAGAGATTTTCTTTGCAGATGCAGGAGGGTCTAAGGACGGTGGTGATGATCCGGGACATTTATGGACATCTATCAACATTTATGGACATTGGTCTCTGCCCCTTATGGATCAATGGCTCTAGTGCTTTTTTCATCATTACCGGCTTTGTTAAGTCCTCCAGAGAGAGACCAAGGCCAATGAGGAGACCAGAACGAGACCAGGGCCTATGAGACACCAGAGAGAGACCTGGGCCTACAAAGAGACCAGAGAGAGACCAAGGTCTATGAGGAGACTAGCGAGAGATCAAGGCCTAGGAGACCAGATAAAGACCAAGGCATACAAATAGACCAGAGAGAGACCAGGGGCTAGAAGGAGACCAGAGTGAGACCAAGGCCTATAAGGAGACCAGATAAAGACCAATGCCTAAAAGGGGACCAGAGAGAGACCAGGGCCTACAAGGAGACCAGAGAGAGAGCAAGGCCTACGAGGAGACTAGACAGAGACCAGGGCCTACAAGGAGACCAGAGAGAGACCAAGGCCTATGAGGAGACTAGAGAGAGACAAGGCCTATGAGGAGACTAGAGAGAGACCAGGCAGAGGAGGAGACCAGAGAGACCAGGGCCTACAAGGAGACCACAGAGAGACCAAGGCCTACGCAGAGACCAGAAAGAGACCACGGTCTACTTTGTAATTTACAGGGGTTTTTTTCTCCCAATTGTGCTTTTTTGTGTGTATTATATGTCCTGTATGCTATGCAACATGTCCAATTATCTCTGTGTGTTTGAAAAGTAAATCCCAATTTGGTAAAATAGTCTAAAGTGTCAGACATACTACATTACTTGAAAAAAATGCTAATAATGACAGCCATAGTCCTTGATTGAGATTCTACACTTTAAAGGTTGGACCATCGTTTCAGTGCCGTTTTAAAGGATTATTCCCACACCTTCTTACATCACTAATACGCCTCATTTCACTGGTGCTATCCGTAATCCTATTCTGCAGCCAGCTCTGTGTAAGATCATGTTGGCAGCAGCAGCACCTTCATGACTCCGCAAAGATGAGATGTTATTAAAACCCCACTTTGAATCATTCTGCACGATAAATGTGTTTTTCATCTCTTTGCTGAAGAAGAAGATCACGTTTCTGTAAAGAGGCAGAGTGCAGATCCATCTGGCGAGACTGGATATTGAGAGGCTGAGATGTCAACTGGACCTAACATATAAGACGTGTCAGTGGATATACAGTATGTTTACAAAGTGTAAGAATAGGGAGTAGACTATATTTAGAGTTGTTCCCAAACCGGTTTGTCCACTCTGGTCCCAGTCTACATGCACCCGCTGATCAGACCAAGCCTTGTGATGCTTTCAAAGGTGTCTCGTAAATTTTCCTTCATATTCAAAATGTGTAAATGTGAATAGAATTGCTATCATGCATTATTCTGGAAACACCCATGCTTCTGTGTGCACGGGAATAATTTTGAACTGCACGACAGCCTGGAAACTCGGGTTGAGATTTTCACATGAATTCAGGGACCAATCATAGAACAGGGAGGGATGAGGCATTATCTCACAGACAGAAGCATTTGCGTGTTTACAGATCCAGCAGATGGCAGCGAATGCAAATCTTCCTATTGTGTAAACCTCATTTATCTTTCTTCCCAACGACTGTCCAACCCGCTGCATAGGTTATTATTAAGGAATTTATACGATGGCGCAAATGCCCAAAAGCACATAATAGGCATTTGAAGCACTCAATTAACTGCTATCACCAATCATAAAGACCTATTCTACAAGAAAATGAATGGAAGGTTCCCGGATTACATGCCACGTGAAATGTAGTCTGGTGCTGTCATACTGTATGCGCACACTTATGACAAATGCAAATATGTCAGTACTCGAAATTCCTAATTTGCTTGGTTAACTTCAGCAACACAAGTCAGTTAATTTCCTGCTTTTTCCACACGGTGACTGTGTATTTAGAAATAAACGAGTCGCCTAAATGCATCCAAATACATACATTTCCTATGCACATTCCATCTTACATGCCAGAGTAAACCAAGTAGAAAAGGTTTAATAAAAAAAAATCCTATTGAATTAAATTGGACTAAACGAAATATCTTCTTTTCTCTTGTGCTTTGTAAATGTACTCATAGATTATCACATTGAGTCAGGAAAAAGCTTGTTATTGTCTTCTCTCAACGTCGTGACTTGTGGGCTCTAAACATAAATTGATCGGAATGGGTGAGGTCAGGTCTGGAGAGATACGCCTCCGTGCTGTAAAGAATCATTCACCTGAAATCTCACACTTTTTTATGTATTCATCTCACACTATTGACTGATTTTCACACGTTTTGAGTTTGAAATGCGTGAGTCGCGGCACCTCTCTGCTCCCGCACCTTTGCAGCCTGGATGACGATGTGCTGGTGGTACGCCATCACCACCACGTCCTGCGGCTCGAACTGACTGACGTCCACCGACACGGAGTACGATTCTCCGTGGCACAGCACCCCTCCTCCGGCCCCTGCGCTGTTACTGCTGATGCTGCTGGGACGTCCCATCAGAGAACTGCCCAAGGAAACTGAGAAAGAGAGAGAGAGGGATCAGGGGTTAGATCAATGAAGGCAGAAGACTAATGGAAATGAAAACATGTAGTATAGAAAATATCTTAAGGGCATATGGAAATTATTCTTACAAATCTCTGATGTATACAACACACTGACGCATGGTTTATTTTCTAGAGGCAATTATTGACTCATGACACATACTTTGTTGTTAGATATTTTTTCATCATTGAGTGGCTACAAAGTGGCCTAGGAATTCCCGGGATGCTGTGTGCGCTAAAATTATTCATAACGGCTCAACAGCATGGAAACCCCGGACGAAATGTTTGCATGGATTTGGGGACGAATTACAGAACAGGGAAGATTGGCAAGACAATTCCACAGATGGAAGCTTGTAGTTTGTTCACAGATCCAACTTGATGGAAAAATGTTTTCCCCACAAACGGCAGTAAAGATTTGGCACTATTGAGTAAACGTAATTCATCTCTATGACTTGTTTCCTTCTTGTCAAATTTCTGTTATTGGGTAGAAATGATACGATTACTGCATTTACATGCGCAGAAGCATACAATAGACCAGGTGTCTCCAACCTTTTTCACCCAGAGAGCTACTTTCCCGGGACAACAAAAGCAGAGGGTTTCTCCTTGAAGTAGCCCTGACAAAAATGTGGTGATATATTGGTGTGAACGATCGTGGTATTGAGTAGATAGATAGATACTTTATTGATCCCCCGTAGGAGAAATTCAGGTGTCCAATAGCAGCAAAAATACAAATAAAATTTATAATTCTAAAAACATAATAAAAGTAATAATCAGCAACAGCCCTTCAGGTCACAGCAGCAGAGATGGAGTAGCCTCTGGGTGGAGCAGGACGGGTCACAGCAGCACAGATGGAGTAGCCTCTGGGTGGAGCAGGACGGTTCACAGCAGCACAGATGGAGCAGCCTCTGGGTGGAGCAGGACGGGTCACAGCAACACAGATGGAGTAGCCTCTGGGTGGAGCAGGACAGGTCGCAGCAGCACAGATGGAGTAGCCTCTGGGTGGAGCAGGACAGGTCGCTGCAGCACAGATGGAGTAGCCTCTGGGTGGAGCAGGACAGGTCGCAGCAGCACAGATGGAGTAGCCTCTGGGTGGAGCAGGACAGGCCGCAGCAGGCCATATTGAGTAACCTCTCGGTGGAGCAGGACGGGTCAAAAGGTGGAGTACCCGCTTGATTCGGACCATTTTCTCTGCTGTAGTCCAAAGTTAAATGCTAAAAGCTTCATTAGCATTTTTCTAAAAGTTAGCATTCCTCCAGTGGATTTTCATCTGATCCGCTTGGTTCGGACCATGAATCCTCTCTGCTTCGGTCTGGACCAGTGTAAAACCATGAACACTGTACTGTAGCAACATCTCAGGCAGAAAAAAGCAATAAAAATAAAAATTGATTAAGCACAAAACAACAACTGTTTTAGAGCTACTTAGGACTGTGATTATTTATCATTGCATATTTGTTACTAGTGACAAAGTGACATTTACACTAATAAATAATGATAGTGAATAATACAATCTGAAATAGTAAGTATATTATTTGATTTGTTCATTTCTAAATCCTTTGACAAGCTACCTGGAAGGGGGTGGCGAGCTACTGGTGAATCCCGAGCTACAGGTTGGAGGCCCCTGCTACAGACATTAGCGCTCAATAAACGGCTGTAGAAAATGACTACGAGAAAGTGACTGCATGGTTCCCACTACATACTATTCACTCCATATTTACTGTGGCCTGGTGGAAGCCGGGCGAGCTGCAAAGAGCTATTACAGACACTATTATGTGTTTTATGAAGCGCTTTTTCTGACTCTCAAATGTGCTTCAGATGCCCTTCATGAACTCTGCACAGTGGTGTTAGATAGTAGACACAGCTGCCCTGGGGTAGACTGATGGAAGCGGGGTTACTAATCTGTGCCACCGGCCACCATTCATTCACACAGTTAACTCTGGCAGTGTGGGTGTGTCTTGCCTAAGGACACAATGTTGGTTCGACACTACACAGCCACATACGGTAATGGCCACATAGCATTTTGTTTGTTTTCTTCTTCTTCTTCTTCCACTTTCCATTTTAGTCCTGATTTTCTGGAAGGGATTGGATTTCTCTTATTTTTAGTACCTACACAAAAACCTCTATTCAATTAAATTGGGTGAGTACTGTGGAGACAAGTGCTAAGTCACAGTTGATTAAATGTAAAACATATTTAAACAAAAACTAATGAGCGATATGAAAAATCTGTAATAAAATGGTGGATGTGGAAATAAACAGAACAAGAAGCAATAATGTCTGCGAAAGCCATTTGCAGTCACTCAGAAAGATAAACACGAGTGACCGCTCTTAAGTGACCACAGAAAGCTGAACCCACAGGAGGCTGCAGCGTTTCACAGTCACACGATTCCGTCAAGACAAAGAAACTAGTATTTTACTTCAACCTGAGTTTTCATGTGCAGAACAAAAGCATTTTCCATTATATCTCAATCAGCATTTGAAATGTTTATTATAGCAGCTACAGGAATCAAATCAAACAGTTCAGTTCAGTTAAAATTGTTTTTTTGAGCTTAGAGAAATACAGGTGATACAACAAGTGTTATACAGAGCTCAAAAGGAGTGGGTTGAAGTAAAAATATTTATATATAATTGCTTAATTAGAATGTATTAAATGTATGTTCCAATTTATGTACACATTCCAGAAGAACTGCAGTCAGATTAGTGCATACATACATTTGAGAAGTACCTGAGGCCAGAGTAATACATACCTAGTTAATCATCATTATAATAACATTATATTGGTAAAAAGTCAGTATATAACAGCCAAATTCTATGTCAAAATTGGGACTACAATGAGGCTAGCTGTGGACTTTTTGTCTGAGTCAGATTTTTAACAATCTGTGTTGAAATACTCGCTGTATTCGTAGATGTTGTCAAAAGAGTTTGGTTGGTAAATTAGCCAAAATAAAATTGATCTCTGTTTCTTACTTGAGTTGCCAAAGGAGGAGCGGTTGTGCCAGCTGTAGGGAGAGGAACATTTTGGTCCTCCTGGTCCTTCCTCCGTGTGCAGACTCAGCTGGTCAGCAGGAGGGGGGTCCAGGTAGGTCCCAAACAGGGGGTCCATGGACTCCTCGGCCCTGTACAGATTGCTGTGCTGGGCTGTGGAGCGAAAGGAGGAGGTGGAGGAGGAGGAGATGGAGGGCCTGCGGCTGGAGGTCAGGAGAGCCATGACACAAACGAACTTCTGAAACGGCTGAGCTCAGTGTTGCTCTGGAGTTCTTCTTTGTGGTGGTTTTATGTAGAGCTTGATGCATTGTGGGTCAGGGTGAAGTCCTTCCTCTTGCCTTAAAAGGTCGTGGGCAGAGGTGGTGGTGTGTAATGCAGGACCATACACAAGAGCCTTTTTGAATGACAATAACAGAAAAAGTCATTTCCTCAACACTTATCTTAACATCCTTTTTGAAATTTACTTTTTACTATGAATTTTTGATCTAAGATTTTTTTTCCTTTATTTTTTTCTTATTTTTGCAACTCCCTTGTGCCAAAACAAAATAATAATAATAATAATACAGTATACGACAATAGCTGTAACAAAGCAAACAAAATATAGACACAAACATAAAATAAAGGAAAATAATTGTATATAAAAATAAAAACAATAGACTTTATATTATAGATGTCACCTTCTCTGAATATCCTTAAAGCTGGAGGACCCAACTTTCAAACCATAACAAATGTAATAAACTTAATCCACTAGTTCCTGGTATTCAATATGGTTTATTTCCATCACCCATTTGTATGTATTTTCAGCTTTTATGGACCGAATAGTGAAAGAGAGAAGACTACCCTCCCTGAACGTGAACACATTTTGCATCATTGAACATGTTTTCTATAAAGATGAAGACAACAGGCTGTGACTCTGTCTGTTGGGACAAACAACATGTATTGCAGAAACAGCTTTACCGCTTACAGTATAGAAAAAAAAATTGTTAAATGAACGTAATGACATTATGGATTTAAAGTGATTGTCTGGATTTTGTCAGAAAGAGAGAGAGAGAGGTGCTTGATTTGAACAAAACGACGCAAGCTCCTCCCCCTTCCTTTCTGATTGGTCTACGCCTACGTTTCCGTAACACTTTTAAATGTTAATCAGTGAACACATTATACATATACATAATTAATACACATGCACGGAGGTTTTCAGAATTATTTGTTAACGTTTTCAAAAAACGATTGTGGCAAACCTGGAAGTAGCGATTATCACATTATAGGACACATGTGCAGAGGATCTGATTATGGATATAGGGTCAGTATATAAATGATTAGCGCGGATGTTCAGAATTTTTTGTTCAGTTTTCATTAAGTTTCAGAGCCTAATGAAGGCTTGAATTGGAGGCTCCGCGAAAACAAAACAACTGAGCATGAGCAGCTACGAGCATCAGCGCCGATGATTAAATTATCACTTTAATTTCCACCCAACAAATATGTTTATAGAGCAACTAGTAATTGTGATGATCAAACACATTGAAAAAGAAGGAGAAAATTATTGAGTTAAAAAAATTCTCACACATACACAAAGAGACACTGAACTATGAAATTGAATCGATAAGCTTCCACCTGATCAGCTTTTTCAGACAGAAAAGAGAAGTGGGGTGACCACCCATCATCAGATCAATTGTTTGTGCTGAACTATAACTTGTGACGCAAATTTCTCAAGTCTCTCTTAAAGATGTAGTCAGTGATTTTTTCAGATGCGTTTTTTAGAATATTGTGGGAAAACGTCCCTAAACCCTAAAAATAGTCAAGAAATGATGTGTTTTCAAATAGTAATGGAATTGACCAGATGCATATAGTCTCCAAAAATCCTTTGAACAAATATTGGAGTGCAGCGATGAAAATTAACCAATGGGATGTGTTTACCTCCTTCACCCTCTTCCTGTTTCTCGCGAGTGCACTGGAGTTATCAGATTATTATCTAAAACGTTAAAGGGCTGAACAGAAAAGACCAATTTCATGTTTGCGACCCACTCTCCCTGTTGTGACAAAGAAAATAAAATGCTGGATGTTTGGTTTGGTGGAGAGGTGAGGGGAGGGGGGAGTGGTTTCCAGTGGGTGCTACGGCTAAGCTAACAACATTGCTAACTGCATCTTTAATCTTTATCTTCAAATTTGTTTGGTGACTTAAATAGTAACCCTAATCTTTGCATATATTTACTTTTTTCTGAAGCACTGGCATTTGAATTTAGCTTGTTATTTCAACTGTCCATTGCCCCAAGAGCTCTATTCATGCAAACACAAACACTACTATTCTTAGAAAGTCATTGTTCTTCCACTTTGACGACATGTTTAGCTGTTCCCTCGCTCTGTCCATTGGTCTGATATTTTGAGCCAAGAATGTGACGGTTGCTCTGATAAGGCCACACTTAGCGGCCGCGGGATAAGCTGATAAGTGAAGAGATGTTTTGCAAAAGCTTTGGTCTGAAATAGCCTCGCTGCGTGTAGTGGTCAGTGCGCTCAGTGTGCTACGCTTTGACCCGCCGCATTCAGGAAACTTATCAATAATTCAAACACAGAGACTGGATGGAAGAGCAGAGGAAGTGGTGTGTGCAGAAGTGTATCGCAACATTTACAATACAATCCTAACATAGACTCAAAAAGAACACCTCCATATTTACTGGTGTTATTGTACGAGATAAGATAAGATACATTATATTGATCTCACAATGGAGACATTTACTAAATACATAAGCTTATAGTACTTATTGGGGCCATGGGACACTGTACTTAGGGCGGCAGTGGCTCAGTTGGTAGATCATTGGCCAGAAGGTCGTGGGTTCGAGCCCACCACAGGACATTCTCCACCGACTCCCACTGAGGACTGCTGTCGCTGTGTGGCTTGGCAAGACACTTAACCTTTGGGAACACCAGCCACAGTGCGGCGGCTGTAAAGTGCCAAACTGCTATTGTGTCTTTAGGCAAGACCCCCATTGCCTAGAATCAATCTGGTGTGTGTGTGAACTGTCGGTGGTGGTCGAAGGGGCTGATGGTACAGACTGGTTGCCTTGGAGTGAGTGAATAATGACCTGTGAAGCGTCTTTGAGTGTCCAAAAAAGCGCTATGTAAAACCGATGCATTTTTATTACTATTATCTACAGTAAGTATTTTTTAACAATAATATATTTAAAATTGTCCCTCCCTTTGGCATGACTACAACCAGTAAGATTTGTTTGAGGAGAATAATTAAACCAATGATGAAGGGCCTCTAGGATTTGAACTAAAAAACCACACAAGGCCAGTGTTGGCATTTTCAGGACAGGACAGAATCCCAGGTGTGAGAGACTATGGAAGCCCCCTCGTCCCGGTTTATAGTCCTGCGATCACGTTTGTGTGTTTCTGTTGCCTCTTTGATCCAGCTTCAGTGTTTGTTGTCTTGAAAGACGTCGGACGCAGATGGCCAAAAACAGTGTTAAACAGCTGACAAGACACAGGAACATCATGTGACCACTTTGAGGAAGACCACGCCCCAGCCCGGACTCGTGGCCCGGACCCCCATCCCTGCCTGGGAGCCTCTTCAGTCCTGCACCGCCCGGCCTCAGTCTCCCTCCTACAGAGTCCTGGATCTATAGCCTGTCCGTCCATGGGAGCAGATCCCACTATGGGTTTTTGAATCAAATCCTTGCCGATGCAGGAGGGTCTGAGGACAGTGATGATCCGAGACATTTAAGGACATTCATGGACATTTATTAACATTTATGGACATTGGTCATCCGCCAATGGCTCCTTTGTGTTTGTTATTATTGCATTTCCTGTGTTCAAACTGTTTATTTCCCTGTTGTTGAGGAACTGACAACGTTATAAAGTCCTCCGAGATGAGATAATGTTGTGATTTAGGGTTTGACAAAAATACATTGAATTGAAGTGAGTTGAGCTGAAACTGTCAGGTACAAAAAAACGCAAAAAAAAATTATCAACTTGTTGTAGGGTCTGGTAGGTCGGGCAAACCAATGCTAGTATTCTCTCAATGCTCAAAACTGTACTTTTACTCCTGTCTACTTTTACTCCTGAATTGTTCCATTCCGTGTATAAACGTGTACATTTCTATTGGGTTATTTGCAAAATCTAAACTGGCATCGAGACACAACATCATTCTGTCTCCAGGTATATCCACATGTCGTACTCTTCATACAGCAGTGGTCTGACCTTTCCTGTTTCTCTTTAATTGCCGTGACATTTGCCTATGGACGCTGCCGCCGCTCTCCACCGCTCTCCGCCATGTCATTGCCTGACGTACCCATCTGTCATATAAATACTTTTATGGTATGTGCCCATGTCTTCTCAAATAGGATATGAAACATGATATTGAACTGCCCTTGTATGCACCGCTCTCATGTCACGCTTCGGACACTTCACAAGAGCCATAAAAGTAAAGAAAATTCTATCTGATCAAACTTGCACACATCCCGGTGAAGCCCCATCCCGGTGTGGAGGCGGATCGCTGGAGACTGCCTGTGTGGAAAATATTATACATTCATGGTTTTATTGGGAAAGGGCCTTGAAAGCTTCCTGAATTGTGGACATTGTGGAAGTATTGACGTAGTTGCTGTTGTAAAAAGATGTGCCGAGGCCGGACCAGGTCTCTGTTAGGATCAACCCGGTCTCAAGAGTCCGGTTCCAGCTCAGACCTTTGACAGATTAAGGTCAGAGGTGAAATAAACGTGAATATACAGAAAAATGTATATATTCGTTGGTCGTTGTTTATGCTTCCCTCGGTGCACGGCCTCCCAGTGGGAAATAAAGCTGTGTCAAGTCAGAGGAGTTTGAAATGTATTTTGACAAAATTTGAACCTTTTTATGTTATTTTTTATTTATATCTTATTATATTTAATTTGGGAAATATTCATTATTTTGGAAAGTATATTATGTCTTGATTATTCTTTCCTTTAATCATGTTGTTTTATTATGATTGGTGGGATAGAGAGAGAAAGAAAGAGAGAGAGAGAGAAAGACAGAGACAGAGGCAGAGAGAAGGAGAGGGAAAAGAGAGAGAGAGAGACAAAGACAGAGACAGAAGCAGAGGCAGAGAGAAAGATATAGAGATAAACAGAGAGAGAGAGACAGAGAAAGAAGAGAAAGAGACAGAGAGAGAGAAAGAGAGAGAGAGAGACAGAGAGAAAGAAGAGAAATAGACAGAGAGAGAGAAAGAGAGAGACAGAGAGAAAGAAGAGAAAG